CACGTACCCTTTGACCTGGCAGAGCAGGAGGCAGCGAGGCGAGAGAGGCCTCTCTGGGGGTGTGGGAGCTGGGCTGGCACTGCAGTGATGAGAGGGAGAGGATTTAGGGCCACGGTGTGGCTGTGGGGTGGTGGGCAGGGTGTTGGCTGGCTGGTTCTGCCCTTGACACTTGTCCCACACCAGTCACGGCTATGCCCGCTGGCAGGACATCCAGAATGACCCACGCTACGTGATCCTGAACGAGCCCTTCAAGTCAGAGATACACAAGGGGAACTACCTCGAGATGAAGAACAAGTTCCTTGCTCGACGTTTTAAGGTGAGTGGCACGTCCAGGGCTGGTGAGTCCTTGTCGGTGAGAGGAGCAGAGCAGCACCCTGAAGCCAGGGGGGAATTTGCCAGCATACTCTGTGAGCAAAGTGGGGCATGGACTTTGCAAGGAGCTCCGTGGTTTACTGGTTTATAGTGGGTGGGGTCTGGTCCTGAATCCTTCCTCTCCCACACCTCCCAGTTGCTGGAGCAGGCCCTGGTGATCGAGGAGCAGCTGCGGAGGGCAGCGTACCTCAACATGACCCAAGACCCCAGTCACCCGGCCATGGCACTGAATGCACGGCTGGCAGAAGTGGAGTGCCTTGCTGAGAGCCACCAGCACCTCTCCAAAGAGTCCCTGGCTGGGAACAAGCCTGCCAACGCTGTCCTGCACAAGGGTATGTGCCTGCTCTGAGGCTGGGAAGGGTTCCCCACCCTCACCTGGGGAGCCAAGCCAGGAGGTGTCCCCATCTTGTGTTCTCTCAGCTTGCTGGGTGTGACAGGCATCCCCCCAAGTACCTCCTGCTTTACTTGCAGTGCTGAACCAGCTTGAGGAGCTGCTGAGTGATATGAAGGCTGATGTGACACGCTTGCCCTCCATGCTGTCCCGCATCCCGCCTGTGGCTGCCCGGCTGCAGATGTCAGAGCGGAGCATCCTCAGCCGCCTGGCCACCCGTGGAGGGGATCCAGCTGCCCAGGTCTGTGGGGACAGGCACAGAGCCCTCACTGTGAGGGTCATGGGCTGCAGACTCATGTCTTTTCTCCCTCCTTGCCTCCCCAGGGCTCCTTCGGCTCTGCCCCGATCTTCAACAACAGCTTTGGGCCAAATTTCCGTGGTCCTGGGCCAGGTGGGATTGTCAACTACAGCCAGATGCCTCTGGGACCCTATGTGACTGGTAGGTTGGGGTTGTGCTCTTGGGCAGAGAAATTCAGAGGGTGGATTTGGGTGGTCCAGGAGTGCTGCCAAAGGACAGTAGTGAACAAGGTGTTTCCTCTGTCACCACAGATATTTAGCAGTTCCCATGATTTTCCCCTGCAGCTCCCACTCCTAGCCGAGGTAAGGCTGTGCTTCCCACTCTCCGTGCTCTGTTTGCTGGGGAACATGAAGGGGTGGGGGGCTAAATGGAGGCTCTATTTTGGGTTCCCGAGTGCCAGTATCTGACTGTGGCCTCTGCCTCAAGCAGCCACAGTGGAGGTGGGAGCAGATCCTTCCTGCAGCCCCTCCCAGGTGGGGTTGGCATGTGGGGAGGGTCCAGATTTGGCTTATGGACAGCCCTTCGCTCTTCTCACAGCAGCCCTGGGGGACAGTCCCCTGTCCCTGGCCATGAGCCGCTGTTGCCAGAGGTCGGCAGGGAAATTGTGCCAGCGTTGCCTGCGTGGAAGACAAGCTGCTGCCGGCACTGCCGCGCTGTCCCGCTCCCGCTTCAAGTGTGCTTTGCCTGCTGCGGCCCCGTGGGAGCGGCGGGGCTGGGGGTTTGTGTCCGTGTACATTTTTTGCACTTTCTTATTGAAGACTTGAAGAGTTCGTCTGGGCAAGGTGGGCTGAGGGGAGGGAGGGAGGGCTGGACTTGCGGTGTTTGTCTGGTTGTGTTGGCAGGTGTAGGGGTGAGTGGAGGCCAGTGGTGCCATGTGCCAGCCGGCTGTGCTCCCCACCTTCCCCCTAAGGGCCGTCTCTTCGTCCTGGTGGTGTTTGAGCAAGCCCACGCCTGTTGCTGCCCTGCTGGAATCCCTGGCACTGCTGTGGTGTGGCTGGGGGTCCACATGTGCCGGGCTTGGGGCAGGCAGATGGAGGGGATGTGGGTGGGACGGAGGGGACAGCTGGAACTGGGATGGGGATGCCTCGAGCGTGGTGACACCGGCAGCCGTAAGCAACGCCCCTGCATCCGCTTCGTGCTCTGTGTGTCCCGGTTTCTGTTCTGTGTTTTAATAAATCCTTTGGGAAGGACGCAGTGGAGTCTGGCTGGGGAAGGGATGGTGGGCAGCCTCGGGGGGGTCCTGGCCATGGTCTTGGTACCCTACGTGTCCACACACACACATACACATGTGCACACGGAGACACAGGGACATGCACACATGGACACAGACAGACATGAGAATGTCATGTATCTACACTTACTGTTATCTCTGCACAGTGCACATATATGTACACATGTCTACATCACCCCCACACATGTACCTTTTCATATACAGCATGTGTAGATCTGTGTACATGTGTAGATCTACACAGAACTGTAAGTTTTAGATTTGTATGTGTGCATATATATCTTTATGTGAGCATACACAGCTATAAATACTGATTTATTTAGGTACTGCCATGTGGGTGTGTACCTGTACATACACACCTGTATATTATACAGGTCTATGTAATGTACTTGTGGTTTTAATACATGTCTGTGTATATACATACTTTTGAGTGTGTGTGTGTGTAGACAAGAGGTATGGGTAGATAATGGATATATGTACATAGGATAGATCTATACGTGGTATGGACATATAGATCTATATTTACACATACGTGTATGTAAGAATACACATAAGTGTGTGGTTTTAATTTGAATATATGTGCATGCATGCACATACATGTATAGTATGGACATATAGATCTATATTTACAGAGATGTATTTACACATACATGTATGTGTATGTAAGAATACACATAAATGTGTGGTTTTAATTTGAATATATGTGCATGCATGCACATACATTTGTAGATGCATCTATATATCTACACATCTCTATATCTCCATATCTCTGTATGGCTATATAGGTATATGGATCTTTGTGTATGTGTTCACAGACACACATGTATTTGTAATTTTCATATATTTATACATAAGTGTAGATACAGGTAAAGGTGTATACCTGTCCTAGACAGAGATAGTATATGTGTGTGTATATTCACAGACAAGTATGTGTTTGTTATTTCACACATATATATGAAATGTGTATGTTTCTGTTTGCACACAAACATTGATGTAGCTCTGTAGACAGAGGTACATGTATAGGTAAAGCTGTAGAGGTTTAGCTGCTGGTAAATCCAAGTACCTAAAGGGTGTGGATGTGGGAGGTGTGCACACTCTCAGCCATATACAGGGGGGAGCTCTGGTATCATGAGTGGGTCAGAGGAGACCCCCCCACCCCATGTTTGTACACATGCACATTTATAGTGGGGCTGTAGGTGCAGCCATGGCCACACACACACTGTGCACAGAGCTCACACACAGTGTGGAGTTCTCACAGTGCACAGAGCTCTCATACACTCCAGAGAGATCACATACACAGTGTGGAATTCTCACAGTGCACAGAGTTCTCACAGTATGCAGAGCTCAGTGCACAGAGCTCTCACAAACTCCAGCGAGCTCACACACACACAGTGTGGAATTCTCACAGTGCACAGAGTTCTCACAGTATGCAGAGCTCAGTGCACAGAGCTCTCACAAACTCCAGCGAGCTCACACTACAGAGTTCACACAGTGCAGAACTCTCACAGTGAGCAGAGCTCTCACAGCTCACACACAGAGTACAAAGCTGAGGGTTTGCACATACATTTACAGTTTTTATGTGTGCACAGATAGAGAAACTGGCTGTAAATGTATGTGGATATGGATACATATATGTAGATATAGGCAAAATGTTTTTTTTGCACAGAGTACACAGAGAGCTAAAAAGAGATAGATACATGTAGCTATATTGTTCTCCTTATATGTATCATCTCCTGTATGTATCATCTGTCTCTCTGTATCTATCATACATGTATCCATATATATAGCTATAGCTAGACATGCAGCTATATATATGTAGCTATGGCTGTATCTAAATTACAGATATCTGTGTCCATGTGTATATATGGCATATGTTTATAGATGTACAGACATGAGTATATAGTTAAAAAGCTGGGTATGGATATAGAGACGTCTACACATATATCTGTATATACACATCTATCTGCATATACACACATTTAAGTACATACCAGTAATTTTCATGTGTGCATATATCCATACAAACATGGATGCTGCTGTAGCAATATATTTACATGGATATGTACACATCTATATATTACATATATGGATCAATACACAGAACCATGTACGTCTGTATATACACAAGCACACACGTGTCTACATGTGTGTATATACATTATACATGTGTTTTTCAGAGGTGTGTGTACACATCTGCATAGAGGTATCTATATATGTAAATAGGTGTTGATCTCTCAGAGACTGATGTCAGGGATAGAGGTGGAGGTAGAGCTACATCTGTATCTACATTTGGCCGTGTGTGACTCTGTGTGTGTGTGTGTGTCTGCAGACACCCCTGTAACAGGTGTACGTGGGTGCATGTGTAGAGGCTTTCAGTAGCTTTGTGCAGATACAACTGAAGGTGCTGGTGGGCTGTGTTCACCTCCACAGCTGCTGTCTGCAAATCCACACGTCCCCACATGTCTGTATGTCCCTATGTCTCCGCGTGTGTCCGTGCACACAGACACTTGCACACTTGCCCACACACACACTCCCCCAGCCCGGTCCCTCCCCGCAGCAGAGCCCTGCCCCGTGCTCGGCCAGAGCATCCCAGCTCTTCCCGCAGCGAACCCCCTCCCTGTCACCATCCCACCCACCCCCTTCCCCGGGAGCGGGTGCTCTCCGGGAACCGCAGCCCCGCGGTGCCGGTGCCGTGGGAGAGGGCAGAGGCGAGGCCCGGGCGCAGGCTGGGGAACAGCTTCGTGTTGTCGGCCTCGTGGGCGTACAGCACCCGCGTGCACCCCGCGCCCACCGCCAACGTGGAGGCAGGAGCCACGCATGCAACGGGTCCCGGCGGCGGGCAGGGCGGCCGGGCAGCTCGGGGCTCGCCTCCCTCCGGCCGTCCCTGCGCCGCAGAGCCAGGCCGGGCGGCCGCGGCGCCACGTCCGGGGCAGCGCGGGTGGAGCGCTGGCTCTCGGCGCTCGCGGTGCAAACCACACTCTCCACTTTGCTCCAACAAAGCGTAAGCAAGCGAACGGGCGGCGAGGGCTGCGCGGCGTGCTCGGGCGCGCTTAGGATCTGTAGTCCTTCTTGCTGTATGGTTTGTTGCCCAGGATGCTATCGATCTCGTGGACGATGGAAGACGACAGCTTTGGAAGGACCTGCGGGGGATGGGGGCAACGCTGGGAGTTGGGATTGTGACCCTGGTGTGTGCTTGAGGATGCTCACCGCCTCCACCCCACCATGTTCGTGCCACAAGCCCCAGCTTGCCGGCAGGGTGACCCAGTTAGGGAGAGCCTGAGTCAGGCCCAGCCCTGCCCCCTCAGCCCAGCAAAGCCTTGTCTTTGCTTCTCGCCTTCATGACAAGAAAAACCTGTCATTTTGGAGCCGGGTTTGTAACCCTCTTTTCCCGCACAGTGCAGCACTGCAATGAGTGCTGTGGGCAAATGTTGCTCCTGCTGGGAGCACTGACCTGTATTGCTCCAATATTCTCCATCAGCTGATCGGCATTGGAGGCCCCCAGTAAGACGGAGCTGACACCCTCGTTGCGCAGGCACCAGGCTGGGATAGGAGGGAGAGCAGAGCTTGAGCACGGCCCAGATATCCCTGGTGTCACCCTCTGCTGTCCCCCACTGTCCCCCATCCTCTTACCGATGGCGAGCTGGGGCAGGGTGCAGCCCAGGCGCTCAGCGATAGCCTGCAGCTCCTTCAGCTTTGCCTGCTGCCGCCGGCCCTCTTCACTCAGGATCTTGTCCTTCAGCCACTGGTATCCCTGGGGAGTGGGAAGGGATGTTGTGGTGGGATCAGGGTGCACCAGCACCTTGCACAGGCAGGGCATCCCCAAACTCCCTGGGCTGTGGCTCCTGGGGTTCCTGTTCCCGTAGGGACTTTGCAAGGCTCCTGGCCCTGCTCCCCCAGCTCTGTCCATCCCCGTGTGCCCTCCCAGCCCTGGTGCAGCTCACCTTCAGCGAGGCACGGGAGTAGGGGGGGATGCCCCCATCATACTTCCCCGAGACGATGCCGCAGGCCAGTGGGGACCAGGTCATGGCTCCAACGCCTGGGGACAGAGCAGAACAGGGGGGTGACATTGCTGCTCACAGCTCCCCCAGGGGCTGTGGCACCCGGCCTCAGCAGCACTGGGCTTGGGGAGCACTGTGCTTTGGGGAGGTGGGGAGGAATCCCCACTGTCATACCTATCTTGTGGAAGAGCTCAGGGAGCTGCACCTCCACCTTTTCCCGCTGGAACATGTGGTACTCGGCCTGCTCGCAGATCGGCGGAATCAGGTTGAACTGCCGGGCCACCGAGTACGCCTCCTGCAGAAGAGCCAGGACCCTCAGCGCCCTGCCGCTCCCCCCGAGCCCCCTGCCCAACCCCCCAGCCAAGTCCTGAGCGGCCACCCCGAAAAATAATTAAGGCTTAAGTGCATCTGCACACGCTTGGCTCCCAACAGCTGCTGTCTAATTAAATCAACGTCAGCAGCATCGCTGGGGCTGCTCCGCTGCGCCTGCCCCATCCCCTGGGCCCCTACCATGATCTCCATGGAGCTCCAGCGCGAGGTCCCCCAGTACATGGCCATCCCCTGGTTGATGACATGGGTCATGGCTCGCACTGTCTCTGCCGGGAGGGAAGGAGAGAGTGGCAGGTGGGGTTTAGCAGGGGCTGCACTGGCCGAAGGGGGCTCGCACAGCGCTGATGGCTGGCGAGCATCCCACTGCCCAGTGCTGCGGTGGGAGCTCGGTGCTGTCCAGGGAATGCTTTCAGAAGAGCAGGATGGGGAGAGAGGGAGCAGCCACTCAGGATGTGCCAGGGACCACAGCCGACCTGACATGCTCACACGGTGCCAGGCTCTCCCTGCATGGACAGCAGCCTGAGGCTTCTGCCAGTGTCCCCATGCCCTGTGGGGTTACCAGCACTGGCACTGCTGCAGGGGGAGGGACTGATGCATTGACCACACACAGAGACTCACAGAGGGAAGCCTGAACTCTGTGTGAGCCACTCAGGCGTATTGGGGGGAGCCAGCCCTGAGCCATGCGGGCTGGGGCCAAGCCAAGGCGTGCTCCTGCAGCCAAAGGCGAGCAGCGGGGAGGGCAAGGGGCATGAGGCTCGCCCGGCCGGCACCGGGGCACACACCCCAGCATGCTCATAGCTGCCCCGGTGGGGAGGGACCCTGCTGCAGACCCTGGCATGTGCCAAGGGCACCCCATGGCAGGACCCTGGGGGGCGGGAGCCTCTCTGCTTTTTGTCCTTTAAACTGCAGTACAGTCTGAAGGGCGAGGGGGGTGTCTGTGTTGTGCTGCTGCTGCCTCTGCATCTCATGGCAGGGTTTGCTTGAGACGGGGGAACAAGGATGGGGGATCACAGAGGAGTGGGGGCTCTGCCCCAGGAAACACCGCTGGGACAGGCAGCGGCTGGCGGGCAGAGTGCGGGCAGGGAGTACCTTCTACGATGAAAGTCCTGGACTTGGAGGAACTAAATGGGTCCCCTGGTGATAAAAGAGAGATTTAGAGAAAGTGGAGTCACCGCTGCTGGGACGGCGGCAGTGACCTGCCACCACACTGCCAACCCGCCCCGCCGTGGCCCGAGAGGGTCCTGGAGCCAGGCAGGAGGTGGCAGAAGTGTGACTGTGGCACGGGCCAACCGTAGTGGCAGAGGAGCGGATTCTGCTTGGGAGGGAAAATGCCCTTGAAACACAAGCCTGGCGCAAACCAACCGCGACGGCGATGAAAGGCAGCGGGGAGGAGCGTGGCACCGGGGCGCGCACCCACCTTCCATCGGCGTGTTGGGGTCGGGCCGGTTGGCAAACACCACATCCACGTACTCTAGCTGCAGCCGCTCCAGAGATGCCTTCAGACCTGCAGCATGGACGGGCAGTCAGGTGTGCTGAGCCCCGTGCTGCCAGCACTGAGGCAGACGGTGAGGCACAGCCTGGCACTGGGGCCAGCAGCGCCTGACGAGTGCCCTCACCCATACCCCTACCTTCTATGATGTGTTTTCGGGACAGGCCCCTCTCTGTCTCGGCCCTGCAAAAGGAAAGGTGGGTGAGAGCCTGGGGTGAGAGCCTGACCCGTGCCAGCTGCTCTGCTAGGGGGCAGTTGTTACCTACTTTCCTCCCCAGAAGATTTTGGTGGTGATGACCAGGCTGGACCGTCTGCGGGGAGAAAGAGAGAATCACTGCAAAGCCCTGTGCACCCTGCCCTGGATGGCACACTCCTGCCAAGGCTGCTCTACCAGCTTTCCCCACCCAGCCCATTGGGACTACAGTAATGGTTTTGCCAAATAGGGATGGTGGTCTAGCTTACCTCCACCCTTTCTTCTTGATGATATTTCCCAGCACCACCTCGGCCCTGCAAGGGAAGGGGACATCAGCCATTGGCACCTGGCAGGTGCAGCCATGGGCCATGGGGGGGGGATGCCAGCCATCAGGGATGGCCCCAGACCCCAGGAGAATAAGAGGCAAATGCAGTGGCTGTGGGGACGCTGTTTGCCCCTTGGCTGCAGTGCCCAGAGCCGAACTACCCCCAATGCATGAGCTTGCTAATTTTAAGTGAAAGCATGGGCCCATTCTAATGCCCTGGGCCGGTGTGCCCTGGGTACAGCTGTGCTGGGAGGGTACACAGCTGCACCCGCATGATACCAGGCCACCATGGGAAGCATGGGACTGCCAGAACCATGACTCCCCCCGTGAGCAAGCGCCCAGAGCCCCATCCTAGAAGCTGTTTTGCAGCTGGCAAACCTGGGATATTCCCATTGCCACTGTGATTTGGTGGGAGTCGGGGTGTAGGGTGAGACCCCCGTGGCACTGCCAAAGCAGGGTACCTACTTGCCAGCAGCGTAGACTTCTGCCGTGTCGAAGAGATTAATGCCGTTGTCATAAGCTAAAGTCATCAGCTGCTCTGCCATCTGCGAGGAGAGAGCGGGGTCGGTGAAGGGGGTGGCCGAGAGCACGGGCGCGTGCGCAGAGCGCTGGAGCTCCTGCATGCTGCATGCACCCAGGCCACAGCCACGGCTGTGCTGGCCCCATCCCCTCCCTCCCCACTCACCAGGGGAGAGATGGGGTGAAGGGGGTGCAGCCTTACCTCATCTGTGATCTGCCCTCCGAAAGTCACCCATGTTCCTGCAGGGGAGAGAGAGGTGTGCGCGTGGTGAATGCGGTGAGCAACGAGCGCTGCCACGTCAAGCCCCTGGCCACCCACCCTGGCTCCCTCAGCACAGCCCTGGCACGTGGTGGCCACAGCTGGCCCTGCCACGTGCACTGTGGTGCTCCCAGCACGGCCCAGTCGCTTCCTATCGTGTCAGAAAAAGAGAAAATAATTTGACAATTTCTGGGCCGTGACTCAAAACAGCCGCAGGGCTGAGGAAAACCCTTTCCTTCCCTTTGCAAACATCACCAGGGCAAGCGAGTGCTGCCCTGGCCGGGCAGTGCCGGCAGCTGCTGCGGAACTGAGGGGATGCTGAGGGGCTGTGGCAAACCCTGGCACTTACCCAGACCCAGGCAGGACACACGCAGCCCAGACTTCCCGAGGTTCCTGGAAGACAGAGACCATTAGGAAAGGTGCCAGAAAGCCCCAAAACGCTGTCTCATGCATCCTGCATGCCACCAACACACCGGGCGCGAGGACTGGGAGGTGTGGTGGTGGCCCCTGGTCCCCATCCCCACCTGGGATGGTTCCATAATGAGACTCCCATCCCAACTGATTAACGAGCCATCCCAGGCTGGGCATCCTGCAGCTCGGTAGTGACACTGCCTGCACCTGCGCAGTGATGCTGTGCCCGGCAGGGCTATTGGGAGAGCAGTGACCTCATTAAAGTAGCTCCCCCTGATGAGGCTGGGGTGTCCAGCTGCCCTGAGAGTGCCGCTGGCACTGGGGAATGAGAGTGGAGAAAGAGGAGCTGGCATGCTGGTGGTCAGGCCTGAAGCATCCCATACATGGCATGAGTTGTGCCTGTTCTCTGCATCGCACAGGGAAGCGCAGGGCTTGCACCAGGCGAGGGTGCTCGGGAGTGGAGCAACATCCTGGAGAAATGGAGCACCCCAGAAAATTTGACCGGCACAAGGAACTGGAGAACAGCTTTCAGGAAGGGGGCCAGGCTGGCAGACGCCTTCGCTGTGGTGATGGAGAGCCAGTTACTTGTTAAAAATGACAAAGGCTCAAGAAATGAGCGTTAAAATAAATAAAGTGTAGGTGAGCCGCGGCAGCTCGCCCGCGCGGGTGTCGCATAGCAACCGGAGGCACCGCCACCGCCGGCACCGCCGACACGGGCACCGGCAGCCGGGCAGGGAGCGGCTGCGGCCCAGCCACGGGCAACCGTGGGCTGCTCTGAGTCAGGGCAGCATCCCTCTGCACTGCCATGCTATCGCCCAGCATCTGGAGGCACCAGCGCTCCCCCTGTCCCGCAGTGTTTTTAGAGCATTTTGTGGTGGGGAGGTCATGGCTGTGGGCCAGCGGCGGCTCAAGCCCCCATGATCGGGGTTGCCGTGTGGAGAGGAGAGCACCTGCCTCATCCTGGACATTCCGAGAGCATTGCTGGGGTTCCCCATGGCAGGTGACCATCGCTGCTCTTGGCTTCCCCGCCCAAAGGGGTGTTGACAGGCTGCCCAACAGAGATACTGGCAGACCTTGGGAAGGCCAAGCATTCCCCTACACTTCTTATCCCATCCACTTCCTTGGAGCATCCTCCTGCACCACTGTCCCTCCAGCAGCCACCAGTGGGGACTCCCAAGCTGATCACCCACTGCCTGGGAGAGGGTGTTGCTGGTATACTCCTCCTCTGGATGAGGACATGACCGTGGGGCAGGAGCACTTGAGCCCTGAGGATGCCACCGTGCATGATCCCAATATTGTTGTTACCACCGCAAGGGTTTGGTGTTTGAGAGCTGGACAGAACTGGATCAGCTCCCTCCCCAGTGTCCAGGTAAGGGGACTCAGCTGATTTGGACGACACTGGTGGGTGACAGCCAGGCTCACCTCAGCGCTCTGCTGGCCTCACACACTTTGTTGCCTAATGCTGGCACATCTGGGCTGCAGCGGAGGCACGCAGCTGCTGGCAGCTGGACCATGGCATGCAGGCTTATCTGGGGGGGGGCCCTACCCTGTCCTAGGGTCCATGCTCATCTGGGGAGAGCCCCAGCCCCATGCCCAGGTGCACACTCAGCCTCAATGGGAGAAGCCCTCAGTGCTCTGCCCCAGAGCCAGGACATGGGGCGTGTGAGCCCTGTGGTGGGTGATGGCCGGGGGGGCCCCACATGCACACACCACCCCATTTCCAGAACCACCATGGGCAGCCAAAGCTGCTTATGGCTCTGCACTCACTTTGCAGGGCACTGAGTCTCCAGCAGCACCGAAAGGATGCCATGGCAGCCCGGATTAATGCCACCGTGACTCCCAGACCCCCCCGGCTCGGCAGCCAGCCCGGCTTGGCAGACACTGAGGATGCTACTAATCCTACTCTGAATTTTAGGGTCCCTTCTCTCCCCTATCCTGAAGATTTTACGCGCGGCTGGATCAAAGCTGCCCTGAGGGGACAGGAGCAAACAGCGAGGAAGCGCACGGAGGCGCACGGTCAGCACTTTTAGCGACGAGAAACCGACAGAGCCGGACGCGAACCGGAGATAACGGGAGCGCGGCGCCCCTGGCCCCCAGTCCCCCCTCGCCGCCCCGATCGCAGTGAGGAACAGGGAAAGCCCCAGGAGCGCCCGTTTCCTACCGGTATTTCATCCCCGGCTGCTTGACGCTGGAGTCGCTGGAGGAAGGGGCGTTCTGCACCGAGAGCTGCCCCAGGCTGCGGGCCACCATGGCCACCGCGCGGAACTTGCCGCGGGTGCCGAGGCTGGGGCTGCCGGCATTCTGTCGGTTCAGCCGGTCCTCCGCGCTCCGGCTCTTGATGCTGTGCTCGGAGCACACAAAGGAGACCTGCATGCTGCTCCGGCGGGCAGCAGCGCCAGCTGCCTAAATTTAGCCGGCGCCCCGGGCGAGGCGGGGAGCTCCTCCCGCGCGCCGCCAACGTGACGGCGGGGGGCTGCGAGGCGGCGGGCGAGGAGCGCTCCCGTCAGCCCTCCTGCCCTCAATATTTGATGAGCTCAGGAAGCGAGCGAGCGGCACGCTCGGGCAGGTGGGGGCAGGAGAGGCAGAGCCGCTGCCGGTACCCTCCGGAGTGGCCGTGGCGGGGCAGGACTCCCCTGAGCCCCGCTGGGCATCCCCCCGCGGGTACGGCTGCCTGCCCAGCTCCGCTTTGGGGCACAGCGAGAGCTGAGGCTGCGGAGTGAAGAGGCAAATTCCCCTGCACGGGTCGGAAACGAAACCCTCGGCCGCAACGCGTGTGCGTCGCCAACCCCAGGGCTGGGCGACAGCCAGGTGGCGACGATGCTGATGGCTCTCCCGCGGCAGAGCCCACCTGCCTGCTGAAGTTGTCGCCCTCGGGGCCACAGCCCCAGCAGCACATTCCCCCTATTTTTCCCAGCAAGCGAAGTCAAGTGAGACGAATTCCAGCCTAGCACCTCCTGCCGAAGCAAGGACACGAGTCAGCCCACTACGGCTGCCAGCATCTGCCGTGCCCCTCAGGATGGAGCAAAACGCAGCGACGGGGCTTGCAGGAAATTATGCACATTTGCCCCAAACCTAATGAAAAATCTTGTAATCTCCTCCGCTTCCCTCTCTCACAAAGCTCCTTAGCTGGTAATCCTGCCAGCACCAGTGCCAGCGCCGGCTCCAGTGAGGGGGGGACCTGGCAGCAGTTGTCAGCCCTCAGAGGATGAGAAACCCCACAAATTTTGGTGGCAGCAGAGACATGCCCAAAGAAGGAGCACCTTTGGGGTGTCTGTGCCAGCTGCTCCCATCAATAAATAATGTCCCCATGAATATTAGATGGGCTCTTGCCACTGTGTAAATGTTACCGCGGTCATTGTGAGCAGAGGGGAACCTGACCCGTGGCGCGGCACAGTGCAGCACGGCAGGAGCCGGCAGAGCTGCCAGCTCCCGAGGGCTTCACTGCAGTGGGGGACAAGGGGCACTCCTGTATTGTCACTGGAGAAAAGCCACTGTCCTCAGCCCTGGTGTCCCCCAAAGCCTGACCTGGGGGTGCTGGGCCCTGCACCCCATTGCCCCACCCGCAATGCCAGGGGAGAGGTGCGCTGGGCAGAGCAGCCCCATCCCTCTCAGGGGCTGTGACCACCTCTCCAGCTGCCTGGAGTGTCCTCCTGACAAGGACATTGCCTGAAATCCTGATACACCTTGCACCAGGACCCACATGCAAAATTAATGATGCATCCGCTCTGTGATGCACACCCATCACTAAGGAGGAGATGCAAACCCATCAGGCAGAGATGTATGCCTGTCACATGGAGATTTACACCCCTCAGGTGGAGAAGAACTCCGGTCAGGTGAAGATGTACCCCTCCAGTCAGGCAGAGATCTACCTGCATCAGCTAGAGGTTTACACCTCTGAGGCAGAAACAGCTCTTCGGCGGCTGTTTGCTCCAGGTGCCTAATCTTTAAAGTTCAGAGGGTGTTTGCATCTGCAAATGCCCAAACAGCAAACAGGAATGTCAAGCGAGAAGCTCAAAGATCACCAAGTAGGAAAGTGCTAACGGCGCTGATGGGCTGCCGCCTCTCCGGCGCTTCCCGCGCCAAGGGCATCGGCTCCTCCCAGCCTCGGCACAGGGGAGCCGAGGTGAGCTTAGGAGAGAGCCGTTCTCCTGACGAGGCGTCAAACCAGCACCAAGCAGCGTCCCCTGTGTCATCCCCTCACCTCGGCCCTCGCCGCCCTCGCGGCGCTGCCTTACCTGTACTTCATGCCAGTGGCGCGGGCGGTACTGTCGGCCAGGGAGAGCCCGTGCATCCGCAGGAACTCTTCCAGAGTCTTCGCCCGCGCTGCCGCCCGCACATCCCGCAGCCGCCGCAGCTCCAGCCCGTCGGCCGCCCGGGGGGCTGGGGGCAGCCCCCACTCGGGGCTGGGCCGGCTGGCCACGCTGCGCAGGCTCTCACTGTAGGTCATGGAGAGCATCCTGCCACCCGAGCGTGGGCTCTGCCGGCCAGCCACGCCGCCAAACACTCTGTGGTGCTACGGAGAGAGCTGGGAAAGCACAACATGGGCTCCCTCGCCACTCAGGGCTCAGCCCTGCCTGCATTGCCATGCCAGAGTCAGGACATGTAGCAAAGTCAGTCTCTTCAGCGGAGCAAAGCCTTGGTGTGAGAGCTGAAGCACAACAAGAGAAGCAGCAGGACAGGGATGCGGCACAGTCCGTGTCTGAGGCTGCAGTGGTGCCTGCCACAGCTGCCCCAAGCCCCAGTGCAGCAGTGTGGCCTGTGCCCAGCTGTGCTGGGTCCCAGCTTGTGCTGGGCTGCAATGGTTTGCATCCCTGTGAGGGACGCAGCGGATCCCAGTAGCTGGCCGAGGTATGGTGAGCAGCGACACAAGTACTGCTGGTGAGAATCTGGCACTGTGTGCCAGTGGGCAAGGAAAATCGGGATGGGAAAGGGGTCCCTGTGGGGCTCCCTGGAAAGGGTGGACATCGGCAGAGGGTCTGTGGGCACTGGGTGCTCACTGTGCCTGCGTCACTTTGCCGCAATGTGCGCCACCAGCCAACACCTTCCCCACCACCGCGGCAGCGACCTCCCAGCCGGTGCGGCTGCCGAAAATAGCCTGCCGCAGGGTGGGCTCCTCATGCACCCCAGCCCTGGCTGTCTCTGTGCCTGGGACCTCACTGGTGGTGGCACCTGCTTGATTTCTGTGCCTCTCTCCGCAACTTCCCTTGTTTCAGTGTTTGCAGGGAGCAGGGACTGGGGCCAAAGCTGTGGTGCTGGTGCCAGAGTGGCCACTGGGGATGCACTGTGACACATCTACACCGGCATCAGGCTCCAGGCAGGCTCCCACTGGTGGTTTTTTCTTTCCCCATGAAGCTCAAATTGACAGCTGCAGGAGCCAAAAGTGAAGGGCTGTCTGCCATTGAGGTGTGACCTCCAGAGGAAAGGAGAAGGAAGCCCAGAGGATATGGAGTAGCAGCTGGTCAGGTATGACCAAAATCCTGGGGGTCTTCTCTGACATCCAGTGCTGCCACTCTGTGCTCCTCCTGCTCTGTAGCGAGGCCTTGGGAAAGCTGGGAGACATGGAAAGGAAACCTTTCCCTCTGTTGCAGCAAAGTCAAACTGAATCCTGGTCATCAGCCTCTTCCTGCCACACCTCAAAGCTGGAGGCTGGACCCAGCACCTCTGGCACCAGCCCTTCTCCGTGGCTGGTAGCTTTAATTAGGGCAATGCCAGTGGCTCCTGCTGGGTACGGGCACCTGGTGGAATCTCCTTGTTCCCAGTGGGATCTCCTTGCCCTGGTAGGATCCCCTCACCTGAGAGCAGCAAGGAGAAACCTGAGCTGGCTGCACCGCTGCTCTACAGCAGTCAAACTGCTGCAGCAAGCAAAGCTGGGGGTTTGATCTGGGCTGCTCTGAGGAATGGGGTGGGAATCGACCGGCTGCCCTATCTTGACACTTTCCTGATTTTCGGCAGAACAGAACTGGATGGCCAAGAGAGCATGGAGGTGGTGGGTGCATTCATGGCCTTTTAATAGCAGAAATCCCAGTGCTCCTGGGATGAGTGGCAACAGGGCTGCAGAATCTGCTAAGGATGAGCTGTGCCATGCCCAAGCAGGAGAGGCTGTTTTGCGAGGAAGGAGCAGGGATGGGGAACAGAGCACAGGCTCTGTGGGATAACAGCACTGTTAGCAGCATCAGGGGCACAACAAGTGGGTGACAGGCAGGGCAGCTGCCCGGAGAGACATCTGGCCAGCCTGGCCAAGCTGGGAAACTGGCAGCCACCAGCCTGCCTAAAGCCAGGAAGACCCCAAACTCCAAAAGAAAACCACCCTAAGCCATCAAATCCCAAGTCACCCTGCACGGAAAATCTTCCCTGCTGCCCGCAGCGGCTGCCCCGTGGCGGTGCCCGTCCCCGCTCATCGCCCACCATGCCCAGCCCCGCTCGCCGCCCGCGCTGCCGGCCCCCACTCACCGCGCCGGGGAAGCTGCTCAGCAGCAGCGCAGCTCTGGGCGGCCGGGCTGCCCCAGGGCAGATATAAGAGCCGCGGTGGCCGCGTTGTTTTGCATTAGGGGAGTGTCGGAGCTTGGCGTCCAAAGCACTTGGCGGCTGCGCCGGGCCCCCAGCGTCCGGCTTCTCGCCGCGCTCCATTAGCCCTATTAGGGGATTTTCTTCCTTGCGAAGGGGAGTTAAATTATTCATGGCGCCTCACTAAAAGCCCGGGGATGTGCCGCTGCTTTATCAACGCTGGCACCGCCCGCCCCTCGCCCTGCGGTGACAGGTCCCCCGTCACCAGCACACAGGGCGGTGGGGACGGCTGGACATTGGGGCCATCAGGGAGCAGAGACCGTGCCCTGAGGCAGACACAGCCCTCCTGTGGTCCCCGCGGCAGTGGAGTCAGAGCTGGGCTGTGGCAGGACTGGAAGGCAGCCTCCACCAGGAGGGAGCCCCGAAACGGAACCGGGTGATGAACACAGGTGGCTGCTGCCTGAAGGCAGCCGACAGACAAGGTCCTGCCTGTTGGCCTTGGGAGCTTTTTCACCAGATGTGTCCAGTGGTTCAAACCAGTTTGGCAGCCAAAACTTGCCTGTCGCTGGGGCTCGGCAGTGCTGGTGGCAGCACTGGGATGGACACTGTCAGTGGCACTGAGCCATCTCATTGCCAGTCCTCCTCACCTCCTCCCATCATGCATGGGATGGAGTGGGGAGGCCACGGTTCTGTCAACGGACAGCCCCCAGTCCCCCACCCCATGGCAGCCAGGCCAGACCCAGTCCCACACCACTGGGCTGCTGTGGCCCTGGGAGCGCTGGAGCAGCTGCTGGCAGAGTGTGTGGGGAAGTGCTGCCCTCACTTCAGACAGTAAAAGGGTGATGGGGGCGAATGTTGCCTCCTGAACCACTTAATGAGACTGCTCCTAATAGCAGGAGCCACTGACCAGCTGGCTGGTTTCCCAGAGCTGCTCTTGGGAAAAGCCAAGGGCTTCTCCAGGCACAGCAGAGGCATGGGACGCTCCCCCCAAGCTGAGCTGAACCCCACACCCCACAGTGGCTGTCCCCCACAGCCATGTGGCCACACTCTGCTGCCTGGACAGCCCGTGAGAACACTCCCCCCCCAGCCACACCGCAGGGTCCCCACACTGCACTTTTGAACCCATGAGCAGGCAAGGAGGCAATGCCACACATGTGATACCCATCCCACAGAGGAACCCTGGCACATTGTGCAGGGCAGTGCTGTGCCAGCATTATCTGGGCATGGGCAGGAGCCATAGCCACCTGCTGGGGGGATTTTGGGGAGGGGGAAGGGCCTGGTTACCTGTAGAACTGGAGCTGGCGCTTGGGGCTCCCGTATCTCGCACTTCCGACAGCAAAGGGGAGAGAGAAGAAAGATGCCACAAACCCCGTTAGAAAGGAGGAGCAGGAGTGAGTGGCAGAGTCAGTAGCTGTGAGAAGGGTCAGCAGCACCCACCCATGTCACAGCACAGTGGACACTGCAGCAGGCACTAGCATGACCCTGAAAGTGCCCCAAAACACTGCTGCTGCTGCTGCTGTGTGGGGATTTTGTGCTGGAAGCCTTTGCACAAAGCATGCCAGGGCAGTTTAGGAGTATCAGCGCATTTTCAGGGAGCATGGTGGTTCTGGGTTGCCACAGGCTTGGGTTTGAAGCCCCACAGAGTTCCCCCAGCTCTGCCCTGCAGCCTTACCTGTAAATCATCCCTGGGGAGCCCGTCTGCCGCAGCGAGAGTCGCGCTGGGGAGTCAGTGGTGGATTCGGGATACATGGAGCCAGCCTGGGCTCCCCGGAGCCACTCGCCGCCTCACCCCTGCCACAGGGGAAGAGGAAAAGAGGAAGAAATGAGTTTTTTGGGGCACGCGCATGACGGCACTTCCTGTTGCAGGAGATCCGAGCCAGATGGGCATGTGGCATTGGCAGCAGTGGGGGCACGGCCGCTCTGCTGGCCTCAGACTCTGGGGCTCACACCCTGACCTACTGATCCCAAAACCATCTCGCCCCAGCCCCGTTCCTCTCACTTCCCAGCTTGGCTGCTTTCTCCAAACTTCTGGGGATCCTGAGATTTCAGGAAATCGTGAGGAAACATGGGCCTGAAAAATGAAACATTCTGAAAACCCTGAAGCTGTCTCTGAGGGTCCCTCTGAAAGGGACAAGCTAAGGGGAGGAAAACAGTCTGGCTTTTCCTGCAGCTCACACGTGACTGACTGTGTGCACAGGGGTGAGGGAGCTCCAATGGAAAGAAGGGCTCACCTCCAGACACCCCTAACCCTCTTTGTCCCTGTCCCCATGGCAGGGGCATCCAGCATGACTCCCTGGGAGCTGTGCTCCTGCTCCTGCAACACTGTCAGCAGTTTCCAGTATCACACAAAACAATGACACTTCCCTACAGAACTGGGGCTGGGATTTAAATTTATCCCTTCTTTCTTTAGGCCAGTGAGATGCCATCTTTACACTGCAGATCACAAGCTGCTCTGTTTCCCAGATGGGGACTGAGAGCTCTCTGGGCTCCCTCCTGGCTGCCCTGGGCTCAGCGGGAGCATGGCCTTACACAGTGTGCTCATGTCTTGGCATGGATCCCACCTGCATCCTGGCACAGCATGCTTGCATCCTGCATCCCTCCCGCATTCTGGCACAGTATGCTTGCATCCTGCATCCCGCCACGGTGTGCCTGCATATCGCATCCTGCCTGCATCCCAGCTGGGCATGCTTGATCCTGCATCCACATCCTGCATCCCAACACAGTGTGCCAGCATCCTGCATCCCTCCCGCATCCTGCATCCCTCCGGCATCCCGGCCCGGCGTGCCTGCATCCCGGCGCAGCCCCTGCAGCCCACGCAGCCCAATGGCAGCAGCTGCGGCAGCCGAGCCCATCCCCGCGGAGCCGCCCACCGCAGCTCCCGGCCGGGCTGCAGCCCCCGGCACAGATCCCCATCGCCCTCCTCCTGAGCGCTGCAGGAGTGCGTCTCCTTTGGCCACAGCCGCGCTGGAGCCGGAGCACAGGGAGCCTCAGTAAAGCCGGGTTTATTTTCCAGAAGTCAGGAGGGAGCCGCTCTCTCCCGAACCTGCAGCACTGACCTGAGCCCAGAGCAGGACCCTGCTGAGCCCTACAACCGGGACCCGGCTGAGCCTCCCAAGCCCTTGTGACCCCCCGGCTTCTCCCGGGTGCTGCGAGTGTTGGTTCCAGAGCTCCCACGGCCTCGCCTGGCGGTGGGCAGCTGCCTGCAGCACCGCCGGGTCAGCAGCGGCCGGCCGGGCACTGTCCTGCCCGCTCATGCCAGCTAAACATGTTAGGGCAGCAAAACAAAGCTGAGGGAAGCTGGGGGACGCCTGCAGGGGGGACAGCTGGACCCCCATGTCCCTGTGCAGCCATGCAGCTCCTTGCTTGCACTGCCATAATCCTGGACTCCTGTGTGGCTCAGGACTGGCCGATTCTGTATCCCAAGGGGCTGTGGTGCCAGGAGCCCAGATCTCCGCAATTTTTAGCAGAACCCGATGCCCCTTTCCTGTAGCCTCTCAACAATGCTGCAGGGACCAAGTGCAGTGGCTGGCAAGTCTCTGGCAGTGCTAGAGGGACTTTGCTGGCAAGCACAGCCGGACCACGGGCACAGGGGTCAGGGCTCTGCACCCTGAGGAGCCGAAGTGTCCCAGCCTTTGGGGCCAATTCATCCCTCTGAGCTCTCTGAGCCAAAGGCACCACCAAAAGTCCAATCCCCTCTGTGTCAGCAGCTTGGTGCTTCCCTGAGACTGCTCCTGCACCTCCAGCTTCCTCATGGCACAACTCAGCTGTGAGCCTGCAACTGCGGGAGTTTCGGCAGTGGCCCGAGAGGGAAGAAAAGTGTTTTCTTCTGCAGGATGCACCCAAGAGTCAGGTGAAGGACACCCTCAAGATTTGTGCTCCCGCCAAGGTCCATTCCCATCCCTGGCAGTACAATGGGTACAGGACTGTGGGTGCTGTGACATGGATGGTTTATGGCTGGGAAGCCCCTGGGAGCTGGGCCAGGATGGGGGGCACTACATACTGCAGCCTGCCAGACATGCTGCCATCAGAGTAGGAGTGGGTGAAACTGGACATGGAATTAACGCGAAAGTAAGGATGAAACTGCTGCTTCTGGTGAGCCCAGTCCTCCAAGAGTGAGGCCCTGGGGCAGGGAGAGCTGGGGGACCCTTGCCATGGGCACCCCAGCATCCTGCCCGAGTCAGGTGAGGGATGCGGGTAATGTCGCATCTCCCCATGCCAGGTGCCTGTCCCCCATATTTCTCCCCCTTTTCCACAGTGTTTGCAGCACAGTGAAATGCCCCCCTCCACACCACGGGGAAGGTGACTTTAGCTCAATGACTCACGCTGCCCTGCCCTGTCGCCTCGGCACCTCCTGTCACCTCCTGCCGTCACCTCTGTGCTCATGCCCCGTGCTGGTCCCGTGCCCCCCCCTTCCCCGGCTGCACCGGCGCCGCAGGGATCCGCAGAGCAGCAGCCCTGCCCCTTCCTTTGGCCCGGGAGCCTCTTTTGCGGCGCAGCATCTCCCAGCCCACCAGGGGCCTCCGACCGCCCGGGTGGGCTCCCGCGCCTTCCCCAGCCCATCATCACGACAACGCGGCAGGCGGGCGCTGGGGACTCAGCTGCGACACGTGAGGTCGCCCGTGACCGCCGAAGCTCCGGCACCGGCGCTGCTCAGCTGCCCGAGTCAATGACACAGCCCAAAAGCACAAATCGGCCGGGGTTATTCCGGCTTTGCCGTCACGTACACCCGAGCCAAAGTAACGGGGTCCATCGGGCTGCCCGCGGGTCCCTGCTGTGTGACACTGCCAGTTCCCCGGTGTGTGACACTGCCAGTTCCCCGCTGTGCCGTGGCTGCCGGCCAGGCAGGGCTGATCCACGGCAGCGGCCCCGCCGGCACCCAGCACGGCACCTACCTGTCTCCGGTGCTCGGACGGAGGGCGATGCGCGGTCGGGAGGCACAAGGCAACGATCAAAGCCGGCTGCCGGCTCGGGCTGCGGGCTCCGCGGGTCTCGGGAAGCGGCGCCGGTGCCGGCGCAGAGCAGCTGCTACAGCCGGCGGCAAACGCAGCGGATGACGGTTCCTACCCCATTCCCGCTCCGTCCCCGGGAAAAGGCGTCTGGCAGAGGGGGAAGCCGAGCCCTCGGCGCCCCGGGATGCGACAGCACCCAAAGATGCTGCAGAGCCGTCCCTGCCGCTCTCACATCCTGACTCGGCAAGTTTGGCTCCGCCGGTGGCTGCAGCCGGCTCCCGATCCCGCCGGTGCCTTAACCGTGTCGGCGCCGCAGCCCGGCACCGGCAGCGCGTGGGCGAGCGAGCGGCTGCCACCAGCCGCCCCTGCGCAGCTCAGGCGGGGGAAGGCTCGTCCGGGGCCACGGGGAGCCTGGGCAGGAGCTGCATCATCACTGCCTCAAATCGCGCCGGGTGTGTTTCTCTTGAAATAATCAAATACAGCGTCGGCAGTGATGCTGCAGGGTTGCCTCCAGCACCAGGGTCACCCGGCTGCCGCGTTCTGCCACTGGCCACCCGTCCTCCTTGTACTCATCACGCCTTCTCAGTGCCTTTGGCTTTTTGGCTATCTTGGGCAAAAAAACCAGCCCGGAGCGTGCCACCTCAGTAAGTGGAGCAGGCTGGTCCCTGTGGCAGTGCGACTCAGTGATCCTGCAGTGATAACAACACCAATGCAGCTGGATCTAACAGGAAAACTAGAGGCCAAGCCAGCAAAAAGGGGTCAGGGTTTGGGACAGGCTGCTCACGCAATGGTGCTCTGGCAGCTATAAATTAGGAAAACCTGGTTTCTCTCCCTCAGCCGAGTCCTGTTCAGCTTCACGACAGCATCTTGGCACTTCCTTTCCCATTTCAGCACAGTCCTGGCAGCAATGGGGCCAATAATCACACTGCCTGCTCCAAACCATGCTGACACTGACAGGGGCCACTCAGCACTGCCAGGGTGGGTGATCCCAGCAGGCTGCCCACTTTCCACACCACAAGCACTTCCAGGAACAGCAAGTAACAGGCAGGGAAGGTCATAAACCCTGTCCCATTTGGGGATGCTCCCAGCACCAGCCCATCAGTGGCTTTGCTACCCCCACAGATGGTGGGAGCCATGTGCCAAGTTGATCAGCTCCTGCTCCATGATGCATCTGACCCACAGACCCGCAGGCCATGAGCAGGAGGTGACAGCTGGCCCTGCCACCCTCCTCATCAAAACAATAATAGTAATAATGAATAAAACCAGCAGCTCTCTTGAATCTGCCGTTGGCAGCTCCATGTAAAGGCATTTTCTGCTCACCAGCTGGAAAATCACTGCATATATGCAACAGGCCTGTCTAGGGGATGTGACAGAGACTGGATACATCTCGCCCAGCCTGCTCTGGCACTCACCCACTGCTGCGCCGTGGCTCCCAGCAACGCTTGGGGAAGAAACCTGTGGTTTTGGGAAGCAGGCTGGGTGCCCTGCCCACACCTGCCAGCAGCACAGACCACGTCTCACCTGAACGAGAGGCTGTGGTGCATGAATCCCGTGCTGGCCGCAGGCTGAGCAGGCATGGGCCTATGGGGATCCCCATCATGAGGAAAACAGCCCCAAAAAAATACAGGCTGGTGAGACAGAGGCTCACGAGCTTCGGGCCTGGCAGAAGAAATGGTGAGGGAGCAGCATCTGGGTTGTGAGGGGACCAGGGACCCGCCACAGGGCTCGGGGCTCCTTCCATCCGCATCCCTCTGGTCACCGCAGCACAGCGAGACAAGGAACGGACTAAGAAACGGCAGCAAACTGAAGGAAGCTGAAGGAACCGCGGCGTTTGACTCACTGTGCGCAAATCGGCTCGGGGGAAAATCGAATGTTCCCACCCCCCGTGCCACCGGGGCTTTGCCGGCGGCTCACACCGTGTCACCGGGGCTCCTGCCCTGCCGCTCCCGGCGTACGGTGACAGGCCGCAGGCCACCGGAGCATCACCAACAGTGTTCGCCTCGCCTCGCTGTGGGAACGAAGGGACAGCCAGCCTCTCCCCGTCCCCTCACAGCCAGGGTCCCACTGGGCCGACAGCAGGCGGAGGGGCGAGGGCCCCTCTCTCCGCACCAGGGAGTGTCGGGAGGGGCATGCGGCGGGGTGGCCTCGCCCGTAGCCCTGCCCGCGGCCCTGCCCGGTTCCACCGCCCCCGCCATCGCCCGACCCCGGCGGCAGCCCCGACCCCGCGCCGCTCCGCCGCCCGCCCTCGTGGGGGGCGGCCCCGCCCCGCCGCGCCTGACCCCGCCCCTCCCACCGCCCATTGGCCACGCCGCCCGCCTCTCGCGCCGCATGCAAATGACGAGGGCGCTGCGCCGTCCCCATTGGGTGCAGAGCAGGCCGGGCCCAGCACGAAGACCCGCCCCGCGCGGTGCGGCACCATCGCCCTAGTAACCCGATGCTGAGGCGGGCGCGACCACCCGCTCTGAAAGGGGGAGGCCGCCGCTGCCGCCGTCGGTTCCGTCCTGCCGCCGCGTCCCGCGCCGGTGCAGAATCGCTCCGAGATCGTCTTGCTGCTGACTGTTTCCGCTTTCTGCCGGCGATGGGGCGCGAGAGGTGGGCGGCGGGGCGGCGAGCGGCGGCAGTGCGTCCATCCACCCCCTCGGGCCGGCGCGCGCTTGGTTGGGCCCAAGAAGATGGCGTCGGGGCGCGGTGAGTGAGCGGGGGGGGTGCGGGCGCTGAGGGACGGGGCTGGTTCCAGTCCCGCTCCCACACACCGGGATCCCGGGGGTGCGAGGGCGGCCCTGCTCTGGCTGTACCCGTGTGCATCCCCAGGCGGATGCAGGGCGGGCATGGGCAGCAGCTGTCCCCACCCACGTGTGGCTGTTGCGCGGGTCCGTGGTGCTGACTGTGCGGGGTCCGTGTGGCTGTGTTCCCGCAGGGTGCGTGTCCCCCGGTGTTCCAGCCCCGCGCCCGCCCTAGCTGGCGCCGGGAGGCAGCGGCGAGCCCCGGGAGGCGATGGGCGAGTGGGACCGGGTGTTCCGGCAGCACCTGCCGCTGCCGCCGCACCCGCAGCGGGGCCGGGCCCGGCCCCCGCCCCGCTCCGCCGCCTTCCGCTGCGCCCTCAAGTACCTGCACGGCGCTGCCCTCTCCCAGGTAGGGGCGGTCGGCCCCGCGAGGGGACCCCGGCAATGTCTTGCTGCGCCCGTTGTTTCTGCTGAGCCTCACTTTCATGGGATCATGAAATAGTTTGGGTTGGAAGGGATCTTACAGGTCACCTTCCGTCCTCCTGTCCTGGGCAGGGCCACCTTCCACTAGACCAGGTTGCCCTTTCCAGCCTACTGGCTTTGAACGCTTCCAGGGATGGAGCATGTGCCAGTGTCTCACCACCCTAACAAGGAAGAATTTCTCCATAAGATCAAACCTAAATTGCTCCTTTTTTAGTTTACCCCCCTCTCCTCCTTATTCTGTCACTTTCTGTGTATGTACAAAGTCACCCTTCATCTTTTTTCTAAGTCCCTTTTGGCATTCCTGTCTGGGTGTATGGGCCTGAACTCCCCATTATGGCTTTTAAAGCAAGGTGGTTTTGGGGGGAACTAACTAGAGATCTCCCAGAAGCGCTAAGTTGTTTCAATACCATGCCTTATTACTTGTAAATTTGAATTAGCATTTAATTAATTTTTCATTTAGTTTTTTGTTAGCTTACGTCAGTATATTTAAATTAAATTTTCTGGATAGCACTTTAACATCAATTGCCTCTTTATTCTATGCTTAATGCTCAATTTTCCCACTTTTTCTTTGCTCTGGCTTGGAGGCAGGTTCTGCAGCAATGCATGAAGCTGTCTGTGGCCATGTGCCTGATTTGGGTGTTCCTTAGAAAACGGGAACTATATCTCTTACCAAAGTGTGTCTGAGCCTTAGGGACACAGAGCTGCCTTGTCCCTGAGCATCCCCAAAGCTGGTGCGTTGTGCCTTGCAGGGAGCCGAGTACCAGCTGCGCCTCTCCCTTTTCGATGCCACCTACCACCACTTCTTTGGGAGGACGTGGAGGAGCAGCTGGCGAGCTGCCAGCGCTGCCCCGCCGCGCTCGGCCAGGGCGACGTTCAACGAGGTGGGGGCTGCCAAGGGTCGGGACAACACACAACCAAACCCTTTTCCACCCCTTTTGCCCAGGGTGCGTCCCAGACACTGACCATTCATTGAGCTTTATCTGTGGTTTATTGGGGAAACTGGCGCGCTGGGTTTCCTCTGAGGCTAGTGCCACCGTGGGAGCAGCGATGTGCCACCGAGTGCCACCTGCCGTGTTCGGAGCTGGCAGCAGAGAGCAGTGTTTCCTCACAAGTGGGAAGGAAGGGAAGGAGCAGATGCTCACCCTCCTGCACAGGGCTTCTCTCTCCTGATCTGGGAACTAAACTCTCCCAGAGCCGTGCTTCCATCTGCTGCTGATACCAGCAAAGCAGGGTGTCCCTTAGTGGGGAGATCCCACTGCCCCGTAGCATGACCCATGTTTTCCACTCATATCTCTGTTTCCACCTCCTCAGTGCTGCAGGTGAAGTGAAGCACAGCTGGGCCCTGTGCTATTCCTTCCTTTACATTGACAGCAACATTGAGGGGCGTTGATGTGTGAGTTTCTTTCCCAAGTGTTTCAGTACCATCCCACCCCAGCCTGTTTTGAAGAGGGATGGATTAAAACTAGGGCAGAGAGTACTGCAGAGAGAACTGAATGCTGGGAGGAGCTGCCTTTCCAAATACATTCCCAGCATCTGCAGGCTTCCTGGGTGTTTGCCATGCAGTTGGGAGCAGTTGGCAGGAATTTTGGGGTGTTGGGGGACTGTGTTACAGCCTCACTGTGGTGGCTGAATTGCGTTGCCTGCAGGGTCTGACAGGGGAGGGGTCATCTGCATGCGGGGTAGGATCTTCCAACTGTGGGAAAGTCAGCAGCTCCTTGTTAGGAACAGTTCAGGTGGAGCTGGAATTGGTTTGTGACAGGTGAGGTAAGGAGGAAAGTCACTACTCCTCTCCCTGTGTGTGCTGCGTTCATGCTTGCCAGC